TTTTATTCTACAATATTAACAATTTTACTGAATTTTTTCGGCAAGCTTAATTTTATTTCAGAGGAATTTCAAAACTATTACAGAATTATACTCACTATTAGATGGTGGCTTTGGTAAATAGTAAACATAAACGTCATCAGACATTATCGTTATTTATTTATTAACTATTTGCGTTCTATTTATAAATAATTTTCCTGAGACAATTTAAAAAAATAAAAACATTTTTTGAATAAAAACATTCAAACTTAAATACATATATAAATAATTGTGTATTTTGAATAGCGATAGAGTAATAAATAGAATATCTCTATCGCCAAAATTCAAAAATATCAATAAAAATAATAATTCGTTACCCATCATTATTTATGAGTCACTGTTGTGGTTGCTGGTATGTCATTTTCAATCATTTCCCGGAGTTGTGGCTATTAAAAATAAAATTTCTTGTTGAAAACTCGATTAAAAAAAAAAAGTTCTTCTCCCAAATTAAAATGATTATTTTTCCCCGTCATCATAGAACGAATATTCGAGACCTGTGAATAATTTTTTTCCGACAACCAAACAGTGAAGCAGCAGTAACAAAAGCGGTATCAGCGCCGTCAACGCTATAGCACTACATTGCAAATTTAATCAATTCGATATTTGATTAATACGGGTATTTGCTCCAGAGTATTACGATGGTAGCGTTTCTAGAGGGAAAAACATGATATAAAATATCACAGAAATTGAGTTTGCAGTAATAATAATAATGACATGGAATACCTTTCTGGTATAAAGGCCAACATGCTTTATGTTTATTATCGTAGTACGTATAATGTACATTGTCGTTTTAACTTATACTTAACAGCATGTTTTGCTTAAAGAATTATCTTAAAATAAATCTTCTTCGATATTTTTAATAACAGATTACAACGATATGCTTGATATATGAGTACATTTTTAAATATAAGACTACTTCACTATTGGCCAATCATTTAATTTAATTTTTTAGTTTCGATGCGAAGCTGAGAAGGTATTGGTTTTTTTTGTGTCTGTTATCACTTTTAAAGCTCTTACCGAACCGATTTCTTTCAACAATACGTCAAAAGACCACAAATCGTATCGAGTCCAAAACATTACCCTTAAAAATTGAAAAAATTTCCCTCGAAAAAATTACTACTACTTTTGTTATCAACAGGTAAAAGCTAATAAAAAAATTCAAAATTTTCAACTATTATAAAATCTTATCACATTGATATTACTTTAAATTAAAAATATATTAATTAATATTAATAGCAACTTTTAAAATAATTGTGTTAAAAATTGCAAATTATGTTTTTTTTTATATTTCTAAGAATGAAATATATACTTCTAATTGTTTGTTTTAAGAAAATAGAAATTCTAAAAAAAAAATGCTATGAAAGCTAATAACGTGCACTTTCAAAACATTGTTAGGTAATTTTTTTAATTATAAATTTGTGGATACAAGGCTTCATGGCCATTGCTATAGGTGCAATAGCTCTTCGAAATTAGAATTATTTTCTAAAAATGAATTTTTTTTTTAAATATAGTTTTCCCTTAAACAGAAATAGTAAAATGCCCTAAAAAAATTTTCTCCAGGCCCTACACCAGGTTTTGTAAATTATCTAAAAATACACTTAAGCTACACAACCATTTAAATTATTATTTTTCTGAGAAAAGCCTATCTATAAAGTGAAATTATCATATGTTTTTATGTATGTTTAATTGGTTATAATACAAAAAAATATGAGAGAAGAATATGACTAAAAACAATTTTGAAAAATGTAATAATATAAAGTTAGATTACTGCTAATAATATTGAAATTCTTCAAATTCCTAACATGATTTGAGTAAAAGTTTCAACAAATTAGATAACAAAGGAAATCCGTTTGTCTGGACAAGGTGTCGTTAACTCCGCAAACTTTAAGGTAAGATTAATGGGACGCGAATCCGGTTATTCAATAACAAGTAACCATATACTTATTACTAACATTCAAATCGAAAGAAATATAGTCAAATATGGAACATTCGATCAGGTCGAGGTCGTGGGTCGTTTGAAATATTAAGGTACCATAAGATATATTTTCATACTGCTGAACACAAAAGTGTAGGGATAAAGTCGCGTTTCCTTAACGCATAAGCTTCTAGTAGATAGCATGTCGAATGGGCTTGTATATATTTGTATTGTATAAGGATAGAACAAGTGATATATCAGAATAGAAGAGCGTGTGTAAGAGAGTAAGAGAGAGAAAGAAGGGAAATTTATAGTGTTTATTTTCCAGCAGCCGCTTAACCTCCAAGGGCCAATAAACAGCTTTCCATTTACCATTGGCCCGCATAGCCAATCCGAATCAATTACGTGATTTCGTTACACTATACTAACCCCTTTGCTTTCCTCTACCCTTAACCCGTTTACTATTGCAGCAGTTGGTCGACAATTCTGTATTCAATTTCGTATGCACTTACATGTGCAAGTGTGCGCTATTAAACTCTTTTTAGTTTTTCCATGTACACCAAAAGTCACGTTGACCCGGTGATAAAATCGAAAGCGATGGATACTGTTGTCGATAATCGTTTTTTCTCACTGTAGATTTATTGTAACTTTTATTTACTTATTTGTAATAAAAAAAAAGACAAATATAGAGATTTAAATCTGAATCGTGATCAAACAAAAAACTAGTTATTTTACCGTGCTAGTAATAAAGAACTATTGAGGCAAAAAGTTTAATTTATCCATTTATTAATAAGTACTAGCCTTGAACCAAAAGCTGCATCTAATTAAAATCATTTCGTGAGAAATATACTACTGCTTTTCTGTTTCAAGAATACTTTCAAACGTCGCGACTAACCTGAATTGAGAACTCTTAAAGTAGTTATTATTGTAACTACAGAGAACCACGACTAAATGGAACATATAAAAAGGAAAATAAAATTATATAAAATACCGTGTGCAAGAAAGAAAAAAAGAAACTCAATAACCCAACTTTTATCGTTTAGGTCATTAAAGAAACGCAAACGAATTATATAGATCTAAAAAGTTCTTAAAATCTTACTTATTTCTTCTCTCTCAGTAACTTGCTGGTAGACTTTCGCTCTTTAAATCATAACATAGAGTGATTGGAAAAAGTGACAAGAAAATATTGTTTTTCATTCATCCTTTTTTTTTTTATTTGAACTTTTAATTTTTTCGTTACTCTACCGAAAACATGCACTGTATTCTGTACGTTCTTGATAAATTATCACACAGGTATAGTTATTAACGCTTTTAACGACACCAAACTTTCCGTATCGTAGTCATTGACATCATCACCTCCGCTGCCTGTTTTTAACTGCACTGTATTCGTCAGTGTCGCCGCATTGATACTAATTACAGTACTCAACTAAAGCTATTTTGCATTCGTGTTGTTTTATCCGGTCAAAATTTTCCAAAAATATTTTTTCACATTAATCGAAGCGAACAGTGCGTGTGTCTATGACGCATCTATATTTTATATAATACGTCCACCGGAAGTGGTCGATGTATACATGTATATTACACGTTTACTGCGAGCGGTTCATCTTATCGTGAAAAGACATAAATCACATTGGCCAAGGTGGGTTTTCCCTGAGATGTTTTCAAACGGACGCATATGTTCAGCTGTGTCGAAATTTAAAGATTTCTTGCCCTAATCCATCCTTTTCTACAACACCACCTTATACCCATCACTACCCAGTTATATCTTTTTCTCAAAGTTTCAAAACACTTTTCACCTCTGTTTAGTTTTTCTTCACTGGATCTTATCCCGAATCATGCCTGTATCCCATTCTATATTCTTATCAAATCGTTATGAAAGTATTACATAGTAGATAATTGTAAATCATTAATTATTTTCGTAGTGATTTCAGAAACTCGACTGAATTAAATTGATATTTAATAAAAAGAATTCCGACAGCCATATTCAAATAAGAATTCAATTAAAATTTAGAAAAAATTTAACTTTACTAATGTAAATTCAATAATACTCAAAATAAAAAATCAATATTATATATATTTACTTCTAAGAGTTAATTTTCCCAGTATAAAGTTGTACATTCCAATTCATACTTTTTAAATAAATTATTTTGTATAAAAGCGTAGACACAAAAATGATTTTGATCAAAATCAACAACAGCAAAATCATTAGTATTTCGGATGTCTATGTATTATAATTGATGTAATAAACTTTCCACCTTTTAATAAAAAATCTAAGCAATTTTATTTCCAACCTCTAGGAAACACAAAGTAATTATTTAACGCCTGTGATTGTCGTTTTCTCAAACACATCGTGGAAACGAGCCAAGAATGGTTACTGGTCTGCTACTGACTTTTGTTCTGCCACAATCAATACAACACTTCTTCTTCATATACGCTTCGAACATTCCGACATTGGACTTTGACCTGACATCCTATTCTCTTGTGTGTACCCTTGTCCATAATTCGCAAACACAGTAATATATTTTCATTTGTTGAGTTAGTATTTCCATTTTAAATTCAATATAAAAATAACTTTAGCAAATGTAACTCTAAACGTCATTTATATTTCGTAACGTTTTTTTTTTTAAGTAAATAAAACGTTTGTGATTTGTCTGTCATCATTTTTTAAGTGTTTCGTATGTTCATTATTTATTTTTTCGCAAAATTTAGTTTTATTACAAAATTTCAGAGTGTGGAACTAATAACAGGCTCTTAATTTAAAATGTAAAATTGTGCGAGTGATCCAATAACATATAAATTGGTTAAAAATAAGTAATTTAAAATCACAGTTGGGTAATAATTTATCAACAAAGTGAAATTAGCAGTGCAAACATTTATAATAGATACTTTAAATGATTAAAAAACTTCAAATGCAATATTTTCGTATACAATAGGATGTAAATACTAATTAGGATATGTGTATGATTTTTATCTTTATTACAAATATTTACTCGTTAGTGTTAAATACAATTAACTGTACTAATAAATAATTTTTTTTTTAATTGCTTACCTGGCACATTCGACATGACATGGACGAATATTTTTGGCCACAATCGTACCTAGTCAACACTTCGTTAAACTGACACGACATTTCGGCCGCAATGTTGTCCATGCGAATAGCTTCGGCCACTTGGGCGGCACATGATTCGCTATCATTGTACGCCCGTTGGACCACAGACTCGACCGTATGGTGGCAACAATGTCTGAGCCGGTATCTTGATAGGCGACCGGGCCGCCGGTACGCATCTGGGTTGGACGGGCACATTTCCTCCAAATCCCGGTCCGCGTATTCAAGGCACTGACGATTAATATTCTTAACATTATTATTATTATTATCTGAACGGTTTGGACACGCAGCCGGACATCGAGGCGGGCCTGGACCCTCGCTGATTTGTCCAGTACACACCGGTGCCTGGATAGACACTCGCACGCGTTCGCACTCTCCGCTGTCGTTATACTTGTCCATTTTCGTGGTCGCAGTCGTGGACACAATTGTCGTCGGTGATTGCGATGCCGTAACGACTGACGTGGCGGAATCTGCTGTGCCTGCTGAGGCTGTTGCGGCGGTGCTCTTCGATGAGGCGCCGGTTGCGGTCATGACCAACACTGCAAGCACCACCGACCAAACGACACAAACGGAACCGCCGCCGGTGCGGGCAGCGCGCATTGTACCGCCGGAACCGGCGCCACCACACTATCACAACCGATCTGGCCGTTTCGCCGAAGGATCTGCATTTCTGCTTTTTGAACCTGAGAACAAGATAAATTGAATTTTAACCTTATAGTCTATTATGACAAACCACTTATCAAATTCGGTATTATAAAAATAAATATTTTTATTTTTAATTCCTACAAAATTATCTACAAAATTATCTACAAATTATAACAACTAAGATGACAACAGGTGCATTTTGAAAAGCAAATATACTTGTGTTATTTTTAATTAAAAACTTTTCAACTGACTAGAAAACATATATTACTACATAATACTCGGAGCAACATTTTTTTTTACTAGCCTAATTCTATTCTTGATTTGTTAATGAGGGTGTAAATAAACACAAATTACATTATCTTGAGACGGTTAAATGCGGCAAAAGACGGCGATGTTCACAAATACCATTATACATGTACTAGTATATACACGATGTAATTGTACAAAAGATACTTTCCTTAAATACTTATAATTGTCTTTGTTACATTTCTAAGAACTCTTAAACGATTTAATAGATTTAAATGAGGTAAATTAACTGTTTTAATAATGTAACTTGAAATACTTTAAACTAGAATAGGATGGCTGAATTTTCAAAATAAACTTTGAACAAAAATTAGGAAACAATTATTTATTTAGAATTAACAAGAAAACCCGTTTTTAAAAGTGTTAAACAAAAAATGGAATGACAAATCTCAAGTGAAACAAACAACACTATCAATAAATTATGTTTAAAATGTCAATCTTTTAAACAAAATAGTGAAGTTCATAAAGAAAATATAATAATTTTAAAGCTCTACAATTACAATAGAAAAATTAAGCAAAATAATGCGAAAAGATAATAGAAGAAAATAAAGTAAAATATAAATAATTAAAAAAATATATAATTGTTTTGATGTAGTATAGACTCTAACATAATAATGTATGATGATAAAGTTCTTTATTAACGCAATTATTAAGTACACATTGTTTAGTAAATCAATCGGTATTAAATATTGTTTAGGAATCTATTGAAGGTTATCCACAAAAAAACTTACAATTATGTTTAGCAAATAAAAAACTGTTCGTTTGTATTTTGTCGAATTGAAAAAAACATCACTAAAATAAACATTACTGTATTTTTTGAGGTAAAACATGTCAGTTTTATTTGAGTACAATTGTGTTATTCGTTGGTTCCGATATGTAGGCTCCGCTTATTTTATTACGTTTTTTATATTTTGGTTGTAATAAGATAGGTAGTTACAACTTTATGTAATAAGAAATATTTAAGTGTGAACATAACACAACGTTCTATATTTTCATAATGGAAAACTTCTGATTAAGACAAATGGAGCTAACCAACTCAATAAAACCATCAATCACTGGACTATATATACACATTAGACACATAAAGTTTTCTAGATAATAATAAGAACTTTAATAACATATAATAGTAAAGGTATAAATTAGAATTTACATCTGGTCGATTCATTTATGTATTACTTTATTCATCCGTTATGTCCGCATTTGAACTTTTTTTTTAATAATATATGAAAAAACTTAGTTTTATTTACTTGATAAATTTTTACAGGTATTAGCAATTATTATTTTCATAAAATATTATTTTTACATAAAATTATGATTTATCTATTAACTACTTTTCTTATACATAAAACACAACTAATCATATGTATAAGGTATAATTGATAAAATAAACGTTCAAAGAAACGTTTTACTGAAAATCGAAAAATAATATGTTTAGGTGAACTAAGATATCCGTATAAACATTACTGTGGTTTTCTGAATTTCATTTTAAAACTCTCTTTTATCATAAACAGATTAAACAGAAAACATTGCTTGAGATGTCAACATTCAAGACTTTTACTATTTAGTTCAATAATAATCACTATTTTTTAATTGAAATACAATAGTTTATTAATTTGTTAATTAATAAAAAAATTTAATAAAAATCTCGCAATTTAAATCACGATAACTGTTTTAAGATTTGGACATATTTTCACCGTTGAAAAAAAACTGAATTTAATGTTTTCGAATAAATTCATATGTGCAAGTTATATTTCCGAGAAACACAATCGAGACAGGATATATACTTTTTTGATGTACTCCTTTCTTGAAAAAAAAATAAAAACAGTCGGTTGGCTAAAGGTTTGCGATGGCTAAAACAACGCAAACGTATCAGCTTTCTCTTGGGACATTTGCAAACAGCAAAGTATTCTGGTGAAGTTCTTTGCTCCTTACTGCTAGTTTTACACACACTCGTATGCGTGTATGTGTGTGTGTGTGTGTGTATGCGAATAAAGAGAAGCGATAAAGTAAAACTCTAGAATAACGACTTTTTTCAGGCCTTATATTTCAGTAATAGCAAAAAGGCAGCATTTCGTTTGACTGTGCACGCGTTATTACACAAATAACAATATGTGCACTTTTAGTGCAGTAATATGCAATGTTTTCTAGTCGCCGACGGTTGTTTAACGATTTTCGTGTATTATTGCCACAATATCTGAACCGAAATCACCGTAAACCAAGTTATGAATAAATGTTGAACAAATATCTTACTGCACAATAAGAGATATGACGTACTTATACATTTTTATAACACGTCCAAACCGCAAGGGTTGACAGTTATCATATTTTTTCCTATCACGTCACAAAATATCATTTGAAATTGATACCTAAGAACTAAAAGTCAGAACCAAATAACACTAATTCTAAGAGTTGCATTAAAAAAGTATAAATTTACCGTCAAGAAATCATCTCTCACGAGAGTTAAAATATTTTCTACATTTCGAACATATAGGTTTCTAGAGTAGACAAAAATAAAATAGGATAAGATAGCAATAATACAAAAATCCACAAAATAATTAAGCCAAAATAAATAACAATTAAAATAAAACCACAATACGTAGTTTACAAAAAATTAGAGCCGGACCGATATTTAATATCAGACGATATATGCAACGTTGGATTTATCAGTATGGGATTTTAATAAAATCCTATATTTATACCAAATTATAAAAAGTTCTATAAAAATCCAATCATCATAATGGTGAATTCATTATTAACCTCGCAAATAATTGAATATTATCACAAACAGTCATTTTTTACTGATAATTTTAAATAGTTCCATACTAATATATATATATTGATTACCTTTTTACTGATCTAATCGTTATTAGTGTTAAAACTATTTTGTCTTTTGAATTTTCTGTTTTTAACATTTTTGAGCTTTATCAATATTAAGAGGAAATTTTTTTAATTTTATGCGAATAATACTAGTTTTTGTAATATATATATGTATAATAATATTACATATATAAAGTGTACCGACAGGTTTTGACATCGTTAATCACTTTTAATCCATAGAATTATTCGCATTACTTATTTTTTTTTAAATTTTTTTACAAATTTGGAGTGCGTTAAAAGCATATTTATTTGTCTCTATAAGAAAAAAATATGAATTACGTATTTTTTATTAATTTATACATTTTTTTAATGTATTATTTAGTTTATCTACTGATATATCCATGTCTTTGTAAAAACATATGTCTGTAAATATTTTAAATTTTAATATTTTTTTTTATAATTCTATAAAACTATTACATTGTTATAAAATGTTATGCTATATTAAATAAAAATAGTAAATATTATTAAGAAAATATCAGATTATAATGTATTGGAAAAAAGTGATTTGGACAAACCTACAAAAAATATACTGTTAAAGTATATTGAGAACTAGAATTATGTTAAACTTTTTTCTTGTATCGATTTTGGTCATACTTAAATCCAGTTCTGAGTATTGTAATAAATGATGAGAAAACGAAAAATGAATTTTTATTTTTTATTCCTTCCATTAATGTATACCAGATGTAACTGTTAAAAAAATTATAACATTTGAAACGCTAAAAAAAGGTGTTGATAACCTCTAAGTAATAACGAGAAAAAAAGATTCATAAAATAATTGAAGATATTTACAAATCACAACGGTATTTTTAAAAAAATATCAGTATTCAGTATACATTACAAAAAGATTTGTGTAAGTAAAAAAATAAAGCCAGACAAATGAATAGCATCTAAACTGCTAATAGTATTTAAAAGAAGTTTATTTGTTGAAGCATTCATGATCAACAAATGTAAACAATTGTTTGCGCTCATTTCGGTACAACTGCAAAAAATAGTAAGTGCATACTTAATTAAACGTTTGATACATACGCGTGCACCTGTATAGACAAATTAGAATATTAGTTTTGCCTAAGGGTCCCCTGAATGAACGAGAAGACACAAAGTACACGTTTATAATTTCGTTGACGAGCACAACACCTCAACCGGCGCTGCCATTGCCGGCTCATGTGCTTTTCACAGACCTCATACCTTCGCCCTTTGGTGGATCAAAAAACAGGAACAGCCACCTACAGGTTCTGATTTCGATCTAGGGTTATTTTCGGTAAAGCTATTTGCTCGGGTCGTTTCGGCCAAACAATACGACTTATAACGGCCGTCGACCACTAAAAACGATTCCGCGACAATGTAGGTCAAGTCTCCGTTCCGTCCACCGAGTAGTTCGCCTTCGACCCAGTCGTCGACCCTAACCGAGAAAAAAATAATCACGTGGCTTACTCGAAACGATAAATAAAAGTTCCTACACTCAAAAAAAAAACTATTCGTTGTAAACAATGAAAAGGAAGTGATAAAAAAGTATCCATCCAGTATCTGTGTATATGCCGATGGCAATCGTTTTAACTATCCTCCACCTTTTATTTATTTATAATTTTTTCCACATATACACGCAGCAGTCATTTTACCGTGGGACAGTATTTTTTTATTCTGGCCAAAAAGAAAAAAATATATTTATGTGGTAAAAAAAAAAAATTAAATTATTATGAAACTCTTTGTTATCTCGAAAAACATCCTATCTATTCTTTAACAATGTTCGCCCCCGAGTACACTACAAAAGGTAAATTAAAGTGTCGCTTTATTGGATGATCCGGATTTTTATTTTTCTCAGTACTGATTTGTCCTTTAATAACATGAAATATTGTAATAATAAAACGCCTCTTTTGATACCACCCACTCGTGTAACCTATACAACTAGTACTTCTTTCATTTGTAATTTTTTCGACTAGTTTTTTAAATATACAATATTTCCTTAAAATAAAATACTATTGAAATGTAATTTGTCATATTTAAATTATCATGTAGCTCACAATCATATATAAAGAACAAACGAGTGAATATTAAAAAATAATTTATAACATATAAAATTATTGTTAGCATATAGGTAGAGTTAAAACGACAATTATTATTATTCTAAAATAAAAAATAATTTAACTTATTAACCCGCTTGTTAAAACATTGAAGACTAATGAAAAAAATATTGTTCAGAATAAAATAAAAATGCAGATTACTTCCATTATTACACCGCTATCGTGCAACTAACTCATATTAGCTGAGCAAATAAAATATAAAATGATACAAACATTTTTACAATTAATTATACCAGATAATAATCTAATATAGTCATCATTTCTGTATAAATTAATTAGCAATTAAACAAAATATTAGTGAAACATAAGTGAGTTGCTTTTTATTAATTAATTTAGTACACACTAAATTATAAAAAGCAACTCCCAAAATTCAATTCAAAAATCCTTTTGCTACGTATTTAATATAGTAAATGAGATAATCATCACTTGTACACTATTTAATTGACTTAACCTATTCCTTTGCTATGGTTGACTATCACTTTAGGTTGGTTAAACAAAAGTGCTCGTCTGCAATTTCATTAAAAGATAAAAGAAACGACATTATATCCCAGCGTTTCTTACATTGTAATAACTCATAAATTTTCATAGTTATTTTATCACAATAATCTTGAAATACATGTTAACACTTTTTTTTTTCTTATTAACACACAAAACAGTACAAAGAAAAATAATGGGTTTTTTTATTAGCCATCACACTCGCACTTGTATTTATTGAACTAAAAACACTATAGTAGATAAACAAAGTTAAGAAGCATAATAATTGATTATAAAATAAACTAAAAAACAATAGTGCATTTTTAAGTCAATGATTAAAGTTTTTAAAAACCAATTTTTTTAAAAACAATACAGAGATTAATAGTGCCACAATTGCAAAAATTAATTTTGTCGATAAAGATAATATCGAGAGAGGTTTTATTTTATTTTATTTAGTATTAAAGTGCTTTTAAATGTTTTAAAAAAGTTCGTTTAAATCGTCTTTCAATTAAGCTAACAATATTTCCAATTATATTGCTCTGCAATAATATATTATAAGCCATAATTTTAATTAAATCCGTTTTTCTTTTCTAAATGTTAGCACTTCAGAACGAATAACTATACTTTCGAAAAACTGTCTTAATTAATGGACAATGTAATTTTCAGAAAACACAATTCAATTATACTTGTGCAAGATAGTTTACCTAATAATTAACGAGAGTAACATTAGAGTGTAAATAGTTCTGTTTTTAGGTAATACAATACATACAACATTGTAGGCTACTCGTCAATTGGTTTTGACATTGATGCAGTTTTTAGTCGATTGTCTTAACAAAATGTCAAACTGTCAATTTATAAGTGTTTTTATTTTTGAACGACAGCAAAAATAGTTAGAAATGTTTTATTCGCATTAAACACAAATTAGCAAGGACGGTTAAAAAAAGACGAGATCGTGATTTTTACAATTAAATTTGTGATTAAATGATCAAAGAGTTGTAAAACGATTTCGGGACAACATTTGCTTTTAAATTCGTTCAATAAGTATGAATAATTTATATTTTTCGATATCTATAACATATAGGCAAATTATCAGCCTACGGAGTGTATTGAAAAAATATTAGTGTAACCAGACAACTCCAGCGGCACCCCAATCGCTAATAATGTTGTCGTGTTATCCGTTGGCACGCGCGTTTATGCTATTCGATAGCTGCCGAGTGCCGCGATACCGTTTCAATTGACGAGCGGAACCCATCGTCAACTCCTTCACCTTCTCCCCACCTGATCACCAACCCTTTTATGTTCACGCATACACTATATCTATCGCTTGCAAACGGCCTCCGGTGATTTTTGAATTTTCTGTTTTCGAAAAATCCAACGTGAAAGTTTTACTAGAAACATTGCCGGTAATTAGTACAATGTAAAAACACTTCTTTCTTTTTAAATTTCTCTGGAATAACATATAAAAACGAAAATATTTCAATTTATATGTAGTACGCGTATAAAGCACATTGTAAATTCATAGAAATTATGTCATAAGGTTAACTCAAAAAAAAAAAGAAAACATCAGTACAATAATAAATAGAAAACAGAAAATTAGTCATTTAGTTTAAATTCGCAGTGCAACGGTTTGTACCGAGTTCAAGATGTTATTAAATGAAGCGAAATATGGATATTTTCCGAGACGGCTAAGGACAGGGTAAAATTGTAATCAGACGACATTTTCACATTAGTCAACTATCGATTCCTCACCTCGCCCGACAGCCATTGTTGGCAATTATTATGATCTAGAACCGTGTTCACGTAACATCAGCAGCCGACAGCCGTTACGTAACGACGTGGGAGACAATAAAACGTTTTGGCAGAACGCGACCGGAATACTCGATAGTTTTCTAGGGATATCAACGTAACCGCTTTATTATGTCGACAACCATTTACAAGGACGTGCAAACACAATATCCAGCTATTATACGGAAAACTTTAACACTGGCGAGGGAGGGGTTCAGAGTGGAATTAAAGTTTCAGTTTTTCTCTTTGATTAACCAACATCAAACACATGACGTAACCATATAACTGCATACAATTCCTCAGTTATGATTATTTAAATATACACAAAGAAAAAATGTACAAAAAATATTTTATACTTACTTGATGGACGCGCCGGTGGTAGTGTCGGTGGTGAAGGTGGAAGTGTCGGTGTAATGGCAGTACGATAAAGTGCCGGATAAGAGAACAATGTAACGAGAGCAATTCTGCGTTGTAGCGTCGTGTCGACGCCAGAGATCATGTCGTGTCGCCGGGCTGATGACCCGCACAATCGACCATAACAACAAGTCCGCGACGACGGCGGTGATCCGCTTGCCGCACGCGACGATGCCGTACCACGGTGCGGATTGCTACGCGGCGTCCCATAATATTAGTGAGGATGGTGGCATAATGCGGCCGGCCACCGTTTAGTCGTCGCCACCGCCGCAATACTGGCCACCTTTACGAGATAAGAGCGTACAGTAGCCTTTGTCGTCATCCCGACGGCGTCGGTATTCGCTTCACAAAACTCGCGATGGAATTTTTATTTTTACTGTAATATTTAATAAAAAATATTAAAATTTAATTGCATATATTAAACAAAACTTTTAATATTTTATTAATTTTTTACGATTTCAACAAAGAGACAGATATTGCGAAAGACTTCATATACGCGCGTATAACACATACACAGACACTTTTATACACTCGCGCGCTTCACACACATTCTCGCACACAAAACCGAGAGGGACGCGACCGTCTGCGAGACTACTCTCTGTGTACGGCGGCCGAGGTCCGGGTGATCGCACCTAGTAGTGGCGACGCGAGAGGGCGCCGGCGGTGGCCATCTTTTGCCGCTACCGCCACCGCTCGATCGATAGGACGCGCGCGCGAAGCTCCGCAGCTTCCCCCGAAAATTTCCCAGCCACATGCCCCCCCCCCCGCACACAGCGGCCTGGTCTGCAGCCCCTTCGATCTCTCCTTCGGCGCGAGTCCCGTGGTTTTTATTTATACTGCCGGCATACCGAAGGACGGGTGTTGGCGGAGTGGATGGATAGCGATGGAGCGCTGGCGGAGAAGAAAGAAGGTACACACTGTACGTACGGAGACCACACAGTATTTTATCGGCTGACAGCGAAAAACGAGGAGAAATGAGAACGAGGGGAAGAGTGTAGAACGCAAAAAAAACTCTAATAGATAATGTGTGCACTTTTCTCCCTCGTCATGTCCGGCTTGTGAGAGGGGCCTTTCCTCCAATTGCCCATTGCCAACCGAGTGCACAATCACATGCTCATAGAGGTCCGTTTACAGAAAGATACAGTAGTTATACAAATCATGCGTTACAAAAGGGTAAAACAAAAAAAAAAAACAGAGAAATGACCGCCGCAGCGTTACATTTTAGAGTGTTTTGCGAGTTCAAACGAAAAATCTCTTGACTAAATTTACCGAAAAATTAAGATCAATTGACCAAAAAAAGGGTGCCTAAATATTATCGCTTTGTAGGGTCAAAAAGTTACGAAACATGTGTACGGTTTAATATCCAGTAGAAACTCATGTTTTTTTATCTCGCTTAGTTACATTACATTACTAGAAGAACAACTCGGAATATTCAAATACATTACAAAAGTAGGAATTTACTTAAAAGTATAAGAAATAATTTCCAGGTGTTTTACATTTTTCTTTTCTTTTGTGCTTCCACGACGATACTTCTCTTTTCCGGCTGGCACGTACCTTCACCATTACTCTCATTTGAGCCCACGCTCCAGGTGGTATTGCGTTTTGTGCTTTTTATTTTTACATCATTGCAATAATTCCTTTTGTGCAAAGAGTCTTCTATTGATTTTAACCAAACAAAATATTCGACGTAATAAATTACTGTATACTTAGCATGTAACACGACATATGAATAAGACGTATTACTTGTACAGAGTGTTTATAGAGATGTCTAATTGAATAATATATATATTTATATAAAAGTATACAAATATCCGAATCCTACCAAACATGGGCGTTCAATTAATCATTTTACTTCTTATTAAAAAAAAAAAAAACTTTTGATACTCGCTATTGCCATAAAATATTTCATAAATGAGGACTAAACGTTATACTTTCATCTGAAAAAATTCTTATCTAATGTCGACAATAGTAAGTCAATATTTTTATTACTTTCAATAAATTTGTTAGATAATTTTTCATAATTTCTCAATTTCAACTCAAATTCATTGAATGAACTGCCTCTATAATTTTTTCAAATCTATAAAGTTTCTTAAAACATCATATACACCAGTATATTTTATAAATATAAACGAATTATGTACAGTCTGGTATCCATTAAAATTCACAATGAGGGAATTTTACGTTAAACGAATTCGATCTACTGTTTTGTAACTAAATGGTTTCATTCATTTTAAGATTGTTCAATAATCGTTCCATTAGCTAGAAATTGACTTCAATAAACGTTTACACACTTGAAAGCCCGAGAAAATATTTGTTGTAATTTACATGATAACTCACCTCGTTATTGTAATAAAAAACAAATAAATATTTGCACTGGCATAAACATATCATTCCGTGTCATTTATTCTTGTTAGTCCTGCGCCTTCCTTTCCGTTTCGTTTAACCGTACAAGTGTTTGTGTGTGCACTAATATTTGCCGTCTTACCATTCATCAATACGTTCTGATGGTTTAAGCAACGCGAAGTAAACAAATATTAGTAACAGAAAAACAATTCTCGAAAATAAAAAATTCCATTATAAATATATATTTTCGCTAGTATACAAAACTACAAAATGTTTCAATTTGATGTTCATAAATACGAGTCTCTCAGATTCTCTAACCCTTTATAGTTAATTACAATTCTGTCCAACAAACGGTTTTTTCTAAAGCTAACCGAAAAATTATTTAATTGTTTAATATTAATATTATTGTCACACGCATCGTGCGGAGGGCGACAGATAAAAATCTGGACCGTTTGAATATAATAATATCAAAGCGGCACATACATTCACAATGCCGTAAACTCGTTTCTAAACCTTTCTTTTATTACTGCGAGCACGGTGTTACGAATGAGTGTAATAATTGAATAACGGAACATGCTGAGGGGAGGGGACACGGCAAAAAGTTTCGGGTAAAGCGCGTATTAATTGGCGTCTGAGAATATCCGTGTGCCGTTTTTAACGTAGCAGAGTGTAATTTAAGAACAGGCTGCAACTTGTATCGATTGAAATAATTTCGTTACGCCAGTTTCCGCGTGTCGATATTCTAATGAAGACAGATCGTCATTGTACGCCTGGAGGATATTTTTGATAGAAACTTTCCAGAGACGCGCTTTCCTTATTTTTCCCTATTTTCCAACGACAAAGCTAACCATTTTCGATCGTTACGTACAATACGGCGAACAAATGATCGCGGTTTCCGTCTCCCGTGCAACCCCACCGAATTTGCAGCAACACTCGAAAATCCGTGTAAAGACAACCCACCTAGTGCGATAATATAATGATGGGCACCGCACTTCAATAGTAACAGCTGAACTAAACTCGGCTGTGATGAAAACACAGGCGCGCAGTCATTAAAAACGTTTAATGAGCTTGCATCGAACGATTCTCTCAAAGTTCTGCCAAACGTCTACGCCGCGCCAATATATTGAGCAATAGACGGGCAATTTTAATGGATAAATATAAATAACCATATGCGTTTCCAGACATTGTATTCGTGTGCTCGAATTGGCGCCTGGACTACACTTTGTTCGCTGCGCCACTTATGGAGCAGTTGTTATACAGCCGCAATATTATTGTCTAGCATTCCCAACGTATGGACTGGAAAAGGAGAGATACAATCAATACACGGGAAATGCTTCAAAAGTCACTAATACGGTTTTTAATACGAAACTCTCGTTCTTTTCATAGAAAGGGAGTCGAAAATGTAAACACACGCACTGTTGAAAAGGCCTAATGCTCGTGTATGGCCGATCAGGGTAAAACAAAATAATAAATATTCAATACGTGTCCAAATAAAAAGTACATTCAAAAATATATTTCATTAAAAAGTTTCGAGATATTTTGTGAAGTTGTTTTGGTTACGATTTTATAAAAAAGTAAAACCCTATCTCTAACGAACTGATGTGTATTTTCTTAACCAAAAATCAATGCGTTGGATTATGAACAATCAAATGAAACTTATATATTTATACAGTCGCAAAAACTAATGCAAAGCTCTAAAGTTTTTGGTCCGGGAGCAATTCTAAATATTTATTGAGAATATGTATAAAGGGAAAATGTCGGTTCAAATGTATTACAGCCGGACTGAATCGCAATGGTAAATTAAGTTCTAGGAATGCCACCAAAGGGACCCTTAATTATTATCCAACTGCAAACTATTCCTACTTACTCTCTGCGTTATGTAGTACACGCGTATTTTTGTTTTTATAGGCCGTATTTATTGAATTTTTTATGTTAGAAATATATTAACAAAAAATGCACGAGTTAAAACAAAATAAGAATTTAACACAGCATTCATATGTGTTTGAGCCGTTTTAACACATTTGAGATTGTGCAAATTTGTTGTTGGAGTATACAGTAGCATAGAAATATTTTCCGTTTAAGGAGGCAATCAACCCCCACAACACTATAACCCCAGCTAGATCACAATATTATGTTATCAAACTAGTACGAATTCAACCTATCTGATGATTTAATTAGAATAACTTAACAAAATTTATAAATATTAATATCTATATAAAATCGGAGATAAATTATCTCCATTGAAATGATAAATTAAAACAATTACATATTGTTTCTGTATTTTAATTTTATAAATTCAATATTTTATATTTTCGTGCGAGTACAAAACTAAAAGATGTTGATTTCATTTTTTTTCTTTAGCTAAATATAATAGAAAAAAGTTTTTCTTTGCAGAAAGCACCTTCCCCCGACAATGACAATGCTTTGTTTTTCTTTCTTTTTCATCTTTGACTTTTATAAAATTTTCCTAAGTCGTTCTAGTTTCATGATTATTATTATTTAAGTTTTCCAGTTTTATTTTCTTTCCTTTAATATATTTCCTCAAGTTTTCAATCGCATTTAGAAATTAATATCGGTGTTCAATATGGTTATCGATTTATTACTTATGACGTTGTTAAAATGTATTAATCGCGTTTTATTTATTTGTCAGGCGAAATTCGAAACAAAACGCGTTACTAATTTTTTTGTTGAAGATTTTTTCACAAATGGGAAAAGATGAAAAATCAAAATTTAAAAGTTTAAATATTAAAACTTCAAATAGAATGATTTGATTTAGTTAGTAAACATTTTTTTAATTTACAATGGGTAGAATACTAATTTTAATTACGTAGAATTCGTTTTAATTTCTCTCTAAACAAAATAATTTGTCATACATTTTGCCCGTAAACAGTTACTTTACTAAATAGGACTTTTATACTTTGTAAAATGTTTTAATTTATTACACAGATGTTTTCAGTACTTATGAAGTTGATAATGACATTTTTAATAAAATATTAAAAAATACCTATTATAAATTAAGCAATAGGAAACTTACTGCCTTAACACGTTCCTATACGAATTAAATTGTGTTATTTGAAACGGCTGTGCCTCTCAGAAGCCATTAGTATTTATTGTGGTTTAACTGTAGATAGCATATTATTATAATAATATTATATTGGAATAAAAAAGAAGTTGCGACCCGCCATGAGCAGAGTTTACACTCGACAATCGAAAACAATTTACATAATGCAACCAGAGTACA